CTAATAGCTGGAGCTAATAGCTGGAGCTAATAGCTGGAGCTAAGAGTCGGAGCTAATTAAGAGCCGGAGCTAGCTAAGGGCCGGAGCTAGCTAAGGGTCGGAGCTAATAGCTAGAGCTAATAGCCGGAGCTAATAGCTGGAGCTAGCTAAGAGCCCGAGCTAAGGGTCGGAGCTAATAGCTGGAGCTAATAGCCTGAGCTAATAGCCGGAGCTAAGGGCCAGAGCTAGTTAAGAGCCGGAGCTAGCTATGGGCCAGAGCTAAGAGCCGGGTCTAAGAGCCTAAGATAGCTAAGAGCCTAAGCTAGCTAAGAGCCGGAGCTAAGAGCCGGAGCTTATAGCCGGAGCTAGCTAAGAACCGGAGCTAATAGCCGGCGCTAGCTAAGAGCCGGCGCTAGCTAAGAGCCGGCGCTAGCTAAGAGCCTAAGCTAGCTAATAGCCTAAACTAGCTGAGAGCCTAAGCTAGCTTTGCCTCTGGCCGCTGTGTGGAGACACAGGTCAGATCTGTTTTAAGGACTTCTGCTCCTCCGCAGGACGGCTGTCGATGGACTCCAGCGAGGGCGACGCGGAGGTGGGCCTCACAGCTTTGTGTGTCTGTGTGTGTTTGTGTGTCCGTGCACGTGCACTAGGGATGGGACGGTTTCTGAAAACCGTCCGAACCGTTGGGTTCTGTCTCGGTTCGGTTCGCGTGTGTTGCGTTCGGTTCATGCTGCTCCTTTTTCTCAGAGGGAAGCGTTTACACTCCAGAGCAGAAGGGGGCGCTACTGCGCCCAAAGCCAACCACCAGTAGGAAACCAGAAGAAGAAGCCAAGCAGCGTAGCCGATAAAAATCAGACGCGCCAACAGCAGTTTCTAGGTCTGCTGTATGGACCACTTTGCATTTAGAGGGAAGCACATGCTGGAATTAGCACTGTTTCCTCTCTGGCAATGCCAGAATCTCATCTACTTTAACCTAAGACTGTCACAATAATGGATCAAATGTCAGACTGCTTTTTTCTTTCAGTTTTAACCTGACTATACAAGACATAATAGATTTTCCTAACAATCAACATATACCGAACCGAACCGAAAACCGTGACCACGAAACCGTGAATCGAACCGAACCGTGGATTTTGTGAACCGTCCCACCCCTAACGTGCACTCACCCCCTATCCCCCCCCCCCCCCCCCCCCCCCCCCCCCCCCCCCCCCCCCCCCCCC